TCTCAAATATCTACTACTGCTACACCACTATCCAATACCTATAATTCTAGATAACAATAACTAAGCTGAGAATCGAACCCGCTACACTATCGGGGACAGCATTCGTCTCGCATCGGTCCCGTACACTTTATTACCCATCCTGTTATGTTGTCTATGTATTATTTTATCATCTGTGCTATTTGTGGCTGTTGTCTATGGTTAGTTTTTGTTCAGTGGTGTTCATGTCTCGTTGAGTAGTTGTTTTTTATCTTTATTTTTTTTAAAAGTGTTGCCCCACACTAGAATTTTCTCCTGTGTCATGGGTGCGTTTACAAACATACAAGTTCACATACACATGACACCCAGGCCCGGAACCATAATTTGTGAATCACACAAAGAGTTGCTCCGTGCGGGAATCGAACACATTGCGTGGTAGCCGGTTCCCCAGCCACCCCACTAACCGTGTTGTCAGACTTAAAATTCAAAATATACAAGCCCTACAATAGTACATAACAGATTTCTCCAAAGATAAACACTTAAATTAGTTTACTTCCTAATTTTACCATAACTAGTTGACACGCTAATCAAATCCACACATCACTCGATTTCCAAAAAAATCGGTTGACGTAATCGATTCTCGGTCGAGACGTTACCGATTATTGCGTAATCGTTGATCTAATCGATTCGCGTGTGTTATACGTACGGAAATGTGTTATGGGAAAGTGTATTAAGTATTATGAAGTGGAAATATTTTATAAAGATGATTAATTAGTTTAAGTGATGCGAAATTTTTTTTAGAGAGAGATACACGTCTCTGTTTTGTGTTGTTGTCTTTATTTGAATCTATAAAAAATGTAATATTCATCATGGTCTCAGTTTTAGTGAAATATTATATAAACTAAAAACCCATAGATATATTTAGGTATACCTACAGTAAAAATCCCGATCGAACAGCAGAAACATCAATAACTGAAAAACCACTGGTTTGATTCGAGTAATTTTAGTTTTAATGTGTTGTCAATACAACAATATACATCTATACTACCTCTAATATTATAAAGTGGAAAGATTTGTATTTTTGTATGTTTGTAATGAATAAACTCAAAAACTACTGGACCGATTGCAATAATTTTTTTCACCATTAGAAAACTGCATTATTCAGAAGTAACATAGGCTATATAATATCACGCTAGGTCCTATAGTTGTGGAGCAGTAACCAAAAATGTTTTAAAAACGGGGGAAAAGTATTGTTTCTGAGGCCTTCCGTGGCGTGCGCTAAGCATAGGTATAGTTAAAGTTATACAAAAATGCTCTATAGATGAATTGTTCATAAATAAATGAAATAAGTAAATGAAGTCCGGAAAAATATTTTCAAAAGGTAAATACTTCCTAAATAAAAAAAAACTGAGAATAAATATAAATAAAACGTAAAACTGTATAAAAAATCTTAAGTCCCCCCGTGCGAAGCCGGGACGGGCCGCTAGTTTATTAATACTAATACTGTCAGAAGTATCATTAGTTTTAAAATAGCAAGTCAATGAGTATCAAATATAACCTATGGAAATAGGTATTTTAAGAGGCGATTTTTCCAACGCTAGATAAATTTTGACTGAAGAATTACTTTGTATTAAAAAATTGTGGGAGAGCCATGCTACGGCACGAATGGGCCGGCTCGACGCGACCGGAGTGATACCACGGCCTCACAGAAAATCGACGTGAAGCAACGCTTGCGCTATGTTTCGTCGTGTGAGTGAGGTTACCGGAGGCCCAACTACCCTCCCCTTCCCCAATCTCCTCAATCCCTGAATTCCCAACGATCCTCAAACACCTAATCCCCAAAAGGCCGGTAACACACTTGTAACGCCTCTGGTGTTCCAGGTGTCCATGGGCGACGCCGATTGCTTACCATCAGGTGATCCGTCTGCTCGTTTACCGGCTTATGCCATAAAAAAAATTTTTTATTATTATCATACCAAGTTTCATCGTAATCGAACCAGTAGTTTTTGCGTTATACGTGAATATACAGACAGACAGACAAAAATTATTTTTACCACATTTTTTGGGTTCGGTGTCTATCTATTAACACCCCCACTATTTATTTTTTTAAATATTTTCAATGTACAGAATGTACACTTCTATAGTTTTATTATATGTATAGTTAGATAATATATTATTGTGATGAAATTAATAACTTGTTTGGTTGTTTAGATGAGTTGTCTGACGGTGTAAATAAAAGTTCGACTCACGTATCACCAGGTTTATTTGATGGATCCGACACGTGTAGTACAGAAGGCACAGTAGGAAAGTCACAAGCACGGCACAGAGATAACGAGAAGACAGTCAGTATATAAAAGTAGTAAGGAATAGGTAGAACTAAGGTAATTTTTATAGGTTTTAGAAAGTGAAAGAATTGTCCACGCGCGTCGTAGCAAAATCTCGGCAAGACTGGTTTGACAGATAT